ACAAGATGTATAACTGTATTTTAAAATGGGTATAAGATTTCAATAGACATTTCTCAAAAGAAGACATCCAGATGGCAAACAAGCATGTGAAAAGATGCTCAACATCACTGATCATCAGATAAATGCTAATCTACATTATGATGAGATATTATCTCACCCCAGTTAAAATCGCTTTGATCCAAAAAATAAGCAATAACAAATGCTTACAAGGATGTAAAGAAAAGGGAATTCTTAAACACTGTTGGTGGGACTGTACATCACCAATTAGTACAACCACTATAAAGAACAATCTGGAGGTTCCACAGAAAATTAAAAACAAAGAGCTATCGTGTATGATCTAACATGTTATCCCACTGCAGGTTATATATACAAAAGAAAGAAAATCAGTATATCAAAGAGGTATTTGCATTCACATGTTTGCCACAGCACTGTTCACAATATCTAAGATTTAGATGCAACCTAAGTAGGCTTTAATAGATGACTGAATAAAGAAAATATGGTTCTTATACACAATGGAGTACTATTCACCCATTATAAAGAATGAGATCCTGTCATTTGCAACAACATGTATAGAACTGGAGGCCATTATATTAAGTGAAATAAGCCAGGCACAGAATGACAAACGATGCATGTCCTCACTTATTTGTGGAATCTAAAAAATCAAAACAACAAAATTCATGGAGATAGAGAATAGAAGAATGGTTACCTGAGGCTGGGAAGGGTGGGGGTTGCTTTGGGGTGGGGAGGTGGGGATGGTTATCGGGTACAAAAAAATAGAAAGAATTAATAAGACCTGGTATTTGATAGCACAACCAAGTGACTATAGGCAATAATTTCATTGTACATTTTAAAATAACTAAGAGAGTATAATCATATTGTAACACAAAGGATAAAAGCTTAAGGGGACAGATACATTATTTTCCATGATGCAATTATTATGCATTGCATGCCTGTATCAAAATATTTCATGTGCCCCATACATACCTACTATGTACCCACAAAAATTTTAAAAAATCAAAATTTGTTTAGAAAGGAAATTTCTTTACATGAAGGAAATAAACTTTAAAAATGAGTGTCATGAGAAGTAACGCTCTTATACATTATCTGATATATTATGAGTTAATGTACATTTAAGCACATGATTTAAAATCTTAGAAACAGTAAATCATTATCATTTTAGATGTTAATATGAGCAAATATGAAATCATTCCTTCTAAATTTAGGCTGAAGGTTACTGGGCATGAAAAAATAATTTGGACCCAGAGTATAAACATCAATGGATAACATATTTAAAGAACACGAACTATTTCCAGCATGGACTGATATGTCTATAAGTATATAGAAGTATCAACAGCAGAAACTTTGACATGAAGCAAATTTGGGTTGGGTTTTGCCTTCTCTGTGACTTCTGAGACTTGTTTTCTCCCCTCAGTAAAATGGAGTTTTTAAAATAAGAATACCCACCTGATAGGTTTGGTATATGATTTAAATTAGATAGTTAAGCTTTATTTTCAAGTGAAGAGCTCAAAATATTAGTTATTATTTTTGTTCAATTCAACACCTTTTTAAAACAATCAAATCAAATATTGATGATAAATTAATCAACCCTGCAAGTGACCTAAGGCTCACTCCCTATTCAACATGTTGTTAGCCTACTTTTAATTTTATTACACTTAAAAGAACCTCAATTATATTACTTTAAAATAGCCCACAATTTAAGCACACCACGGACTGGAGAAAACCTTTACTTTAACTAGTCTGAATTAGTGTTGCTTTTACTTCACCTGGTTCATCCTAAAAAACAGACCCTGTGAAATTTCACAATACATGCAATAAAGACCCAAAGAAAAAAATATTATTTTGAGTTTATTTTGTTTATTTTTTTTCTTCTTTTAAGAGAAAGGCTTACATCAAAGGCCTATAAAATGGAATTTGTTATACGCTTTTTTTCTTTTATTAAACCATTATAATTATCCCAGGAAAACTGGAAAACCTATGAATACTTTGAAAACTAGCAAGTTTGTAAGTTGGTTTTAACATCATTTGGTTCTCTGGCTACCTCTCCTCTATTTCTACAACAAAGTATCTTGTTCATTTACTATTTTAACTATTTACTATCTGTCTTATCCATTGGAATATATGCTTCAGAAATTGGCACCCTATCACTGTGTTCACTCCTCTCACCCCAGTGACTCCTTAGTGAATAGTATTTGGCAGACACTCAAAAAATATTTATTGAATCAATGAATACAGGTGGAAACGGAATAACAGGGCTAAAAATAGTGACTAGCTTTTTTATTAGTCTTGATTCATAGATTATATACTATACCTTTTTAATTCTTATTTTTTATTTGCAAATAATAATTGCATATATCCATGGGATGCATAGTGGTGTCTGAGACATATAATATGTAGTAATCAGATATATTATATTTTTAAAGAAACCCCTGAAATAGAAATTTTAGGTAGTTAGTACTAACTTGTTCAGGATATCCTCAAGTGTAACAAAACTTTTTTTTCTTTGCTTTAATTTGTGTGTTCCCTTTGTTCAACCTCCTCTGTGGTATAGGAGTTGGTAACCTGCATGATCCCTGCTCTGTAATTTAAGAATATCTACAAAGTCAATGATGCATTGAGTCCCAGCAAGTAAATACTCTGAAGATGACTAGTTTCTCCAAAGTTTGAAGACAGATGGTGAAATATTGAAATGTTACAGAAATAGTCTTCTCAGAGTTGCTTTTTAATTTTCATGGGAGAAGAGGGAAAATAGAGTGATAAATTAATTAATTAAATTATAGCTAGTAAACTCATAAAGTGAGACATCCCATAGTTCAGTCAATATGAACACCCTAATTTTTGGAAGAAAATATTATAATGTCATTATTTTTTAAAAGTCAATATATTGTATTAAGACATACATGATAAGCTCTTATTCATCTAAGATCAAAACTTATAGCTAAAGTGGACTTCTGTTCTACAATTTAATCTTTTCTCCTCTAAACAAATGCATCAGGTATCACTTAGTAAATTGTAATAACTACAGCTGAGTATGTACAAATATGACTAATCCTCGAGCTGACCAAAACTAGTTTTGACCTTCCATTGTAAAATGATCCCTTATGGTCTTCCAAAAGATGTGTGCATATTTTAGGTGCCACAAAACAATAATTCAAATGTCATGTTGTAAAATAAAGTAAAAACAAAGCTTCTTACTCAAGAAATGAATTTTAATTAAGGTCAGGAACCTTATCTGAAATAAAGGTTATATTTGTTCTAGCCTATACTGAACCTGTTTGATGGTTCATTCTTAACTTTGAATGACTTACATGTTCTCACAACATTAAGAGCATGAAAGTTAATCTGCTTTTATTAAGTCTGATAACTGATTGAAAATAAGGAATAATTTGAAATAATTTCTAGCTATGGAGATTGAAGAAGCTGCTTCAGAATCATTTCAACTGCTACCAAATTAACCACTTCCAGAGAGAAATGGATAGTGACATCAACCCACTGACCCTGCTGAAAATTAATCTAATTAGATATTTTACTGAAAGGCAAGAGTAGATAAAGAGACAAGGATGAGAAAGCAAAAATTCTGGAGATTTTTTTGATGGTCTGGCTCTTGTAAAATGCATTAATCACAAAAAGTACAGAAACACTTTTGGGAAACTTTTTTTCTTGTACTCACTCAAGAATCAAGAAATTAAACTAAATCAAAATACTTCTAGTCTTCCAAAGATACGTAAGAGGAAGAGAAGAAAGGAGATGTGAAAAAAGGAAAACGGGAAAGGAAAGGAAAAGCATTTAGGTACTGAGCAATTCCTTTGTAACGAGATTGCATTAAGGGTTTTTTGTATATTAGCTAATATAAATCTTACACAAGAAAATTATTAGTAATCGCATTTCATAGATGAAGAAACAAAGGCACAGAAAGGTAACATGGTGAGTAATTTCCCCAGAATCAGACAGTTATCTAAAAGTAACACTGTGATTTAAACTTGGATCTAGTCTACTAAATGCCTTCATTCTTTTTAAGTATTACTCCAAATGGTTTCCAATAAAAATGAAAAATAACAGCAAGACTTCCAGGAAATGCTCTAAGCAGTGTTCCTACCCACATCCTCTAAACATAATTTTTCTGGATGTGGTAAAATTTAGTAATTTCAGTTTATTACTTGCCTTGGGGAGATTCAAATGAAAGCAGAACTGTATAAATTACAATGATGACACAGCACAAAATAAACATTTAATAACTATTTACTCTTCATAATTATGATAAAAACCACAAATATGTAATTTAAATGAAATACTTTACTCATTTGTTTTAGACTAAAAACTAAACACTTAACTAAGGAGATAATCTTGTTTCAACTAGGATAAGTTTGGTCAGAAGCATAAGTTGACCACATGATGGAAAATACAATTATTAGATGAGTGAACACTAGTTGGGATGAGGCTATGCATGTGTATGTCTAATACACTCAGAGCCAGCTACTCATAATTATTTGACTTGAATTCAGTGAGTCTAATCCACTATTAATCTATATTTGCTCATAAGTAGAAATTGGTTTGTTAATAATTTAAATGCAGGAAAACAAAAAAGTAGTTAAAGTTGATTAAACTGGCAATCCGATTAGAAATAGACAAATCTTAAGGTTTCCAGTATGCGAGCTGACTATTCTATAAGCACAATCAACCATTACAAAAGTGAAAATGTCATCTAAGCGCTGATAACTAGAAAGACACCAGGTATGGCAGTTCTGTTTTATTTAGCTAACTAATCAAATTAGACCTCACTTAAGAATAAATTTGATAAGCTTACCTGATGTTTTATCTCAGACATAACCTGATTTTTCATATCTGAGCCAACCATCTCATCATACCCTTCAACTTCTTTAAAAAAATCAACCAATTCTATTTAAATTACTTTATAATTGTGTTCTCTCCAAAGCACAGGCACCCATTTAAAAAGCAGTGTGTATAATTATAAAGGTACTTACATATTTGGTTTCTCGACCAGCTGCTCTTGGAAGAGTTGTAGACGTCTGTATGAAAATAAAAATAATTTTACTTCTGAAATAATAAAGTAAATAATAATAGATTCAACTTCTGGAATGTGTTCACCTTCTCAATTGATACTTTCTAAACATTGCTGTCTCTACACAATATCATTCTTTAGAAAATTATTTTATAAAATGATATCACTTGATTTTACTTTTCATTCATTTTATCTATCAGCTTCCTGGTAATTTCTTCTTATGTATTGATGATGTTAACTCACAGATTCCAATAGTTCTTTCCTCACGTTTCCTCCATAACTGTTGCCTATTTCAAAATTCATACAGAAATCTCTGTCTTTTCAATTTTTTGACCTCCTCAATTCCAAAGATGTTTTCATCTACTCCATTTAAATCATTCATTCCCAGAAAGCTCTTAGACTTTACATTTACCAATAAAACAGAAACTCTCAGAAATATCAATTACAAATCTCCCACACTCAGATATCTCCCTCCTATCCACCATCTTTATTTCTCTAGTGCCACCAGTGAAACATCCACATCACTGGGACTTCCAAATCACTGACCATCATCAGCTTTATTCTGGTTTTACCTCTCAGCTCATATGTATTTATTATTATAAGTCATTTGAATACTTTTTATTTTTTTTATCTTCTTCTCTTCCTATGACAAATTCTTTCCCAAAAATTAAAAAAAAAAAAAAGAACTCAACCCTAGATTGGCCTTACTATTCATTTTTCCCCATACTTGAATCGGAGAAGCAAAACATTGTTGGAGAAACTCTTTCAAACAAAATAATTAATTTTAAACTAATAATTCTCAATTTTAAATGTGCATTCAATACTGCCCCAACTTTTTCTTCTGTAGGCCCACTTTCTGAGATGAAATAGCTGTTTGAGTCATTTGTCCACTCGACACATATTTATTGTTATACTGTGTGCTAATTACTGTTCTACACTCCTGGGAATTGTTGGTGAACAAACGATACAAAGCTGTCCTACCACTGAGGAGTTCATATTCTAGAAGAAACGAAATAGGCAATAAAATCATACATAAGTAAATTATATGTTAGAAAGGAATAAATGCAATGAAAAATATGCTTCCAGATAAAATTTTCTTTGCTTCTACAAAATACCTTGTATTTTTCTGGACCACCTAGATGTTAAGGAGTTCAAGAGTGCTGGGAACTTACAGTTTTAAATCAGATGATCAACGTAGAGAAGGTGACATTTGAAGGAGACTTCAAAGACTTGAAGGAGTAAGGGAGTTGGGTATGTGGTATTTTAGATAAAGGGCATTCCAAAAAGAGGGAACATGTGCAAAGTTTCTAAGGTGGATTTTCTCCTCTGAGAAAGGTGAGTAGAAAACTCGAAGTAATCTTTCCATAAAGGACAATAAAAAATCTGACTAACATTTTGAAAAGTATTTATCAAAGACATCAATGTAGTAAAAAGAGAGTGAATAATTACTGGGCCAAATTAAAACAGGATGGGAACCTGAAGAGAGAAGCCCAGCATTTCAAACTGCTTTTGTCCTCAGGGTGTTTGCAAATAATGATGAATTGCTTGAAAAGCTAACCCAAACTTTTGATATCTCTCAGGCATAGAGAGAGAAAAGTCAACCAGGACTTGCCAAGAACAGATTGAGCCCCTACGAGTAAGAGTGACTCAGAAGACTCACATGGTCCTCAGCCTAGTGTCAAATTATGTGAAGATGACTGTCTGGAAAAATAATCTCAGAACCTTAATTTAAATTCAGGTAGTTTTTTCTTGCTTGTGCTCCCAATGTTTGACAGAAACAAAGAAAAGACTCTCTATGGAAAGACAGTATCATCTGAAGTCTCCATTTCTATTAAGTTTTCACGTAGGCTGTCTAGCACCCAATCAGATTCAGATACACAAAGAGGCAATCAATGTAAATGAGGATGAGTAGAAATACTAAACAACCAGAAAAAGACCCACAGAGATTCAGAAATTTGTTTTTTCAGAACCAGACTGAAAATAACCATACTTAACCATGATTTAGGAGATAAAAGTTAAGCTGGAAAATTTTTACAGTATGCTAGAAACTATAAAATGATCAGTGGTATAACTAATGTGAAAAGGAACTAAATGCACTAAGACAGGAGCATGCTTGACACATTCATGCAACAGCAAGAAGGCTAGCAGGGCTGGGGTAGAGTGAGTAAAGGAGAGAGTTAGAGGAAATTTGATCACGGAAGTATTGGGGCAACACATAGGCCCTTCCAGGACCTTGAGAGGACTTTGCTAATAATCTGAAGGAAATGTATAAAGGCCCTTCCAGGACCTTGAGAGGACTTTGAGAGGACTGGAAGGGACTATTCCAGTAATAGGCCCTTCCAGGACCTTGAGAGGACTGGTCCCTTCCAGGACCTTGAGAGGGTTTTGCTAATAATCTGAGGGAAATGTATAAAGCACTTCTGGTTTTAAACAGAGGAAGGTCATGATCTAACTTATGTTTTAAAAGGTTGTCTGTGTTTGATGTGTTATGAATGAACTATTGTGAGTCAGAGGCATAGGAACAAAACTCTTATACTATCCAATAAAATATGATGGCTCAGTAGTGCAGAAGCCATGAAATAAATAATCATTGACATATTCTGAAGCTATAGAAACAGGATTTCTAGTAGAAGAGATGTGAAATGTGAAAGAGAAGCATAAAACATCACACCAAAGTTTTTGACCATGAGCAAATTGAAAAGTTAAATTTTACCAGTGGAGATGAGAAGGCAACATAAGGAATCATTTTGTATGAGAAAAATCTAGATTTTATTTGTATGCATATTGAGTATAAGACATTTGTTAGAAATCTAAACGGAAATGAAGAGTAGGTATTTGGAAGTCTGTAGTTTGAGAGAGAATCCTGGACTAGAAATAGAGTTGTCACTGTATATGTACTTAATTTTTAAAACATAAATCAGGCTGAGATTAGCAAAAGAATGAATATAGAGAGGAATGAAAAGTTTGAGGACTCATGACTAGAGAATTCCAACATTAACAGTTTGGGATGAAGAAGATGAGCCAGCAAAGGAGACTAAGAAATAATAAGTGAGATAGAAGAAAAACAGAGTATGGAGTTCTAAAATACTCTAGAAGAAAACATACCAAAAAGGAGGGTATGAGCAACTGTTTCAAACTCTGTTGCTGTCATCTCAAATCAGGACTGGATTTATAGCAATGTGAAGCACTTCAAGAACCTTGGAAAAAGTGGTTTTGGCAACATAAAATTGGAGAGTTAAGAGGAAACCAGAGAAACAAAATTGAAAGCAGAGTATATAAACTTGTTTTAACTTTTTCAAATTCATCCCCATCATACCTTCTCTCCTTAATTTTGGTTAAGATATGATCTTAAATTTTACTTTATTGGAAGGTGTTAGTTATGAAATAACTAGATATATTGGTTATAAAATTACTTCTCTTCCATCAAACTACAAATATTCTTGCACCTGTCATGTCCTTTATTTTCTGTCCTGTTCCAATAAAGGATATTTCCAGCTTCTTATCAAATGGTCTTAGCACATTTGGGCCGTGATAACACACCATTCACTGGGTGGCTTATAAACAACAGAAATTTATTTTCCACAGTTCTGGAGGCTGAGAAGTCTAAAATCCAGGCACTAGCAGGTTTGGTATCTGGTGAGGGCCCACTTCCAGTTCATAGATGGTGCCATCTTCCACATTGTTACATGGTGGGAGGGATAAGAGGTTTCTCTCAGGACTGTTTTGTATGGAACTTATCCTATTCATAAGGTCCCCATCCTTATAACCCAATCATTCCTCATGGCCCCACCTTCTAATACCTTCACATATTTCAACATATGAATTCTGAGTGGATGGGTGGGACACAAATATTCAGACCATTATTTCCCCTTCTTCTGTAGAATTAGTGCTATCTCTACTGAGACCAACACCATCGCATGCAAATTTGATCTTGCCATTTTCAGCTTCACAAAACATTCTTTCTTGACCTCACTATCTACCTAAATTCCTTCTTTTAACAGCCAAACATTTCCAAATAATTGTTTAGTTCTGTTTCTACGTATCCTATCCCTGCCTTCTCAAGCCACAACACATTTAAACATCAGAGATAAGGAGATCAATGAGGTGAAGTGAGGTACTAAAATCTGAGGGTAATAAAAAGAAGTAACAATGAAGATAATATCAAAGTGGTCCTTCAGCCTTGGGGGAGAAAATAGTTAACTACAGATTTCAACAACTGGCCAGCTTCTGATGAATCTTTCCCTCAATCCTTTGCTCAGCAATGATGACTGAGACAGCTGTTGGAAGAGAAGAATATACCAGAAGCAGAGGTGCAGGTAGGCAGAGGTGAGGGTCAAGGCCACCAGAGTGGAGAGGAAGTGGCAAGTGGGAACTAGTAGATACCATGGCACTTCTCCCTTCTGAAGTACATGTTCCTCCTGCTCTTAAGGAATAAATAAATAAACTTCACCAAAACTGGCAAGTACTAGCACCTGGGTTTGGGGACCTGCCACCCCAGGTGCCAGGCATACATACACCCAACTTAGCTGACATGCTCCAGGAAATTTGAGTTTATAAATATAAGACATCTGAAAAACTTAAATACTATAAAAGAAAACAATGGTTCCTCTATTCCACTCCTATTTACCCAAGATAAGTGAAAGAATATATCCATACAAAGTCTTGTTTACAAATATTCTTGGCAGCTTTATTAGTAATAGCCCCAAATTAGAAATAACCCAACCACCTATAAATTGGTGAATAAAGGATGGTATATCCACACAGTGGAATATTACTCAGCAATAATTTTTTTTAACTGAGCTAAAAAAACTGAGCAATGCAACAATATGGATGAATTTCAAATGCCTTCTGCTAAGTAAAGGCTGAAGGGACTACAGACTATATGATTACATTTATATGATATTCTAGAAAAGGCAAAAGCATAGGAACACATAAAAAGATAAGTGGTTTCCCAGGACTTGGACTGGAGGGAAGAATATACTAAAAAGGAGAACCAGGGAACTTCTTCAGTTGAAGGAAATGTTTTCTTTGGAATGTGGTGGAAATTATATAATTGGATTCTTTTGTCAAAACGCAGAACTGTAAACTAAAAGAATGTAGTTTACAGTGATTAAACTACACATCAATAAATCTGATTTAGAAGAAAAAACCATGTTAGCTACAACAAAGAACTTAATACCGGAATTGAAGGAAAGAATAGATACTAAATACATTCTTGAACTGGAATATCAGATCAAGAATTCCTCTTGAAGGAATTACAAAATAATAAATAGAAAAAATATGAAGAGCAAGAGACAATAAATACAGAATCAAAAGTGACAAAATCAGTATGATAAGAGTCCCATGAGGGAAGGAATATTTGCAAAAATAATGATATAAAAATTACCAAGAACGTAAGGGGAAGAAACAATTGAAGATATCATATGAAAGATCATAAAGAGTACCAATCAAAATAAGTTAAAAAGTGCATACATACATAATTTAAAACATTTTTAAGATCACACATAAAGTTTTAAAAGCTTACAAAACAACTCTGTAAATGATCGCTCTATAGCAGAGGAACAAGTATCATGCTGACAAAATACTCATAAGTATGTTGTTGAAGAAAAACAACCTAGGGGGAAAGTGTTGAAGAGAGAGGACCTACAATTTTATGTGCGGCAAAACTATAATTTAAAGGAAAAGGCAAGATAAAGATGCTATCATGGACAAAGTTCACAAAATCTGTACAAAAAGATCTTACTTTATACAACTTGAAGCAAGATTCCAACAAGAAAAACAATAAATCCAGGGAAAAGCTTTGAATGTGTACAAAATAAGGATCTAAATCAGAAATAAATATCTAAACAAAGGAAAGAGCAAGACATGTTCAGACATAAAGCTAAAAACAATACGAATAAATTGTAAGTGTATGTACTTGTATATATGGGTTAATTAAAAACAAGTGGAAAGTGAAAAATGCTATAGTACTTATAAAATTTGGGGAAAAGCCATTTGTAAGTTTTAAAATTGATAGAAAAATAAGCATAATAATTTTAATATGTCTAACTACCAAAAGTAACAAGATATAAAGTAAAATTTTCAAAATGTTCCACAGTAAATATCAAAATTGCCTGAGGAAAGCAGAGAAAGGCAAGAGAAAAAAACATTTTAAATAGAAAATGTAAAATAAGATAGCAAAAAATCACCCTAACATAACAAGAATTGAAATAATTATAAATGGTTTAAGGTCTCTGATAAATAGAATCTAACTGAATGTAAAAATGATATCCAGAAATACGCTGTTCTGAAGAAAATTAGACAGGAGGGCATGAAAAAAAGTAAAATAACAGTAAAAGATACATGTAGGAAAACAAGAATTAGAAATTATAAAGTCACTATTTTAATACTGAAGAGAAAAACCTTAAATTAAAAAATGATTATATATCCTGATAAAGCTTCTAAAAATTCAAAAACAAGAATGAATGCCAACACACAAGCACCAGCAATATGGTTTCAAAATATACAAGTCAAATCTAATAAACACTTCTTTAGACTTACCTTCCTCTAACCCTTGGCCATAATCAACACAATTATATTCGCACTCTCTTCTTATAGCTTCCATGATACCACACTGCTCTGATTTTCCTCTTACCACAATAGCCTTTCCATTCTCATTTGCTGGGTCTCCACCTCCTTTGTCAGACCTGTGATTTTCTGTTCCTTGGAGCTCTGTACAGGACACTCACAATGTCTACGTGACAATGACCCTCAAATACCTCTGATCTGCTTCAAACACACAGGTATAAGCTTTCATGATAAACACTTCAAATTCATTCTTGTCTAAAACTGGCATACCTTCTGCCTGCCACCATACAGCTCTTCCTTCACTGTTGTCTATCTTCAAGGTGAGTTCTGCAGTTCATTCAAGATTCTTCTCTCTCCTTTACTACCCACACCCAAATTCTCAGCAAGCCTCAAACACTCATACTTCTACCTCTTCTGAACCTACCCTATCCAGACCACCATCACTGACCGTTTCCCTGCTCTCAGCAGCCTCCTCGCAGCAGCCATATTGATCATCTTGTATGGTTTCATATTACTCCCGCCATGGTTTTATGTCTTCCCATTTTCCTTGGAATCCAAACTTCATACCATAGCAAGTAAGTGTTTAAATCACTGTGCACAACCCAGTTTCTCAACATCATTTTACACTCTTCACTCCTAGCTCAGTGTACAGCAACCATATTGGCTATCTTCTTTATCTTTATACACACTAAGCTCTTTTGTGCTTCAGGAAATTTGCACATGCCTGTTTCTCTGCCCGAAAGCTATTATTCCTGATCAAAATTTCTGTGGCTGGCTCTTTTCCTTCTTTGGGTCTCAGCTTGAATTCTACCCTTGATCACTACATTTAAACCATATACCTTAGGTTACTCAGCCTTGCGTAGGTTCCTAGTGCCTTGCAGCACCAGACTTAAGGTAGTTGTTTAAAAAATACCTACAGAATAAAAAATTGCCTTAAATTTAGTGGCCTAAAATACTGGGGATTTTTTAACACCATAAGCATTAAATATTTGTTAAAGAAACCAGTAATATACATTATTTTTCATATATAACTTCTTAAATCCTATGATTATATTTAATGTCTTTTACATGTTCAACAAATGAAACAAATATATATATATATTTTAAAATTTATATAGTATCTTTGACAAATCGAAGTTTTAGATTAAAAGGCTTAAAGGATATATAACAAAATAGACTTCAAAATTATCTATTTGTGGATCCTCTGCTAAATTATAATTATTTAATATGACAATAATTGATTATTGGGTTTTCTATGTCATTACTAATGGATATTTGTTGATAATATTCCAATTGAAAATCAGGATTACTCTTCCATTTGTGTATAGTTCTGTACATTTGAAAATTACTTTAGATGCTTTGTGTCCCATGTTTCAAGAAAGGACAGGAAAAACGTATACTAATTCCAAGAAAATAAATAATTAAGGCTGACCAAAAAAACACAATAACTAACAATTATCAATAAAGGAAAAATTATAGGCATTTTGAAATTTGGATGAGTAGAGCTTAACTACATGTTTGAAAAAAATAATTTGGAGAAATGTAGCATTTTATACCAACAAATGAAAATAACTATTTTATAATAAAAAAAATACATAATTACAACAATTAAGTTTGGTAGTGTTCTAACAATCTAAAATATCCACTTTTATTTCCCTTTGAGTCAAAGAATAATGAAATAAATTCAATCAACAAAAAGAAAAAAAATTCCAGAAATGATACTTCTGTTGAAGCTCTTAGGCGAATTTTACTTTAGTCTACTTCATTTTTTACTTGTCTAAGTGGCTACAAATTCCATAAATGTTGAATCTATGATTTGACATGAGAATGAGCCACATATTATACATTCTAAATGTCAATATTTAAAAAAAAAAAATTGGTCTAATATGTTGGCTTTCAAACTGTTTTAAACTTGACCCACAGAAAGAGGTTTTACTTTGCAACCCTGTATACACTTACCTTGCATTATATGTGTACATGTAAACAAATGTTGACAAAAGCTATACATTATTTGTAATCAAGTCTAATATCTACTATCTTTAAAAGTCTACTAAAAGTACTGATTGCAATTCACTAAATTTATTTTTCACTAAATTTATTTCCCAATTCACTATTGGACCTTGACTTGCAGTTTGGAAATCACTGATCTAATAAATCTTACAGTTCCATAAATTATATTAAATACATACATACTTTGACTGTGTCAGAACCCAACAATGTCTTTGGGGACCTTGAAGAAGAATCAGAAGAATGCTGAAAAAAAAGAAAGGAAGGAAGAAAGAAGAGAAAAGGAAAGAAAAGGACAAGCCTGTGAGGCATCATACGAAAGTAGAGGAAAATGAAGAGAAGCAAAGCAAATGTTTGAATTGCACATTCTAGTCTAAGGTATTACCATAGACAAGGAATCCTGTAAGACCTTATCAATGGTAGCACAGACCTCTTCAGTTTGCTGCCTGAGCTGTGCAGGAAAATACAACTGGAAGAATTGAAACCAGGTACTGGGTTAGTAATAAGTTTTGGGACTGCATACCAAAAGCAGGGGTAATCTGAAGTTATTACCTCAAAGGGTGGTTCTAATGTGCTGTCCTTGGAGACACTTTCAGTCTTGACTGGTTCATCTAGTGCCTAGTGATAAATGAAATTGTTCTTATATGAGGCTTCTAGTCATACAAATGGAGTAGAAAAGTCTCTTCAAACAAAGTGTTTTATGTATTAATATTCTGAGAAAACAAATACTTAAAGTATTTGATGAGCCATTCTTTAACATTTTTCATGTTTGTTCAGTTTCTTCTGTGAAATTAGTATCTCCAATATAAGGTGTTAACAATAACAAAAGGACGTTGAGGGTTTATATTTGTTCAACTTTTTCCATTTTATTTTTTACTTAATTTTTGAATTTTTAAATTGATTAAGTGTGAGAATTTTTTCATTCACTAATTTGAACTTGTGGCAGAGACAGTGCTAGGTGCTCCTCACTGGATACTTTCATATTCCTGAGCACAATTATTCAATATTTCCTTGGCCTCAATAATTTAGGTGTGAGCTTGTTACTGATTTCTTGTTGAATGAAATTTAAAGTAATGTGTAACTTCTGGTACAAGGCAGTTAAAAGTAGATGTGATTTTTCAACATAGTCTCTCTCATCTTCAGATAACTAAGATGCAAGACAAAAGCAGACAAACAATATTACGGAGTCACTATTGGAAAACAGCCATGTGGATGAGCTATCAATATACTGAGCTACACCAAATTATGATGTGGGAAGAAAATAAATGTTGATTGTGTTAGGCCACTGAAATGTCAGGTTTTGTCTATGTAAGCAGCTAGTCCATGTAAATCTATGTAAGCAGCCCATTTTGCTTACACTGTAGCATTGTTTACATTGACTAATCCAGGCACTGAAGGCTATATATTTTTACAGATTTACCTCAGAATTTTTTCATTCATACTAACGCCTAACCCAAGCAATACAATCTTAAAACACTTCACATAATTATGTAAATTTATTGCATTTATACAGTTTACTTCACTTGCTTTTATGCTCTAATTGCCATATAAATTACATTTAAATCTGTAATTACATATGAAATTTAATTGCTGTTATAATTTTTACTTTAAATGCTTATACGCATTTTTTTAAATTGTAATAAAATCATATTTTACAGTTGACCACATATTTATCATTCTCATCCTCTGCATTCCTCCCTGAGGTTCTAAGTTTCTATTTGCTATTGTATCCCTTCAGCCTGAAAAACTTTTTTTTAGCATTTTAAATGTATCATTCCATTATCTTCTGGCCTTCATTCTTTCTGATAAGAAGTTAGCTAGTTATTATCATTTTGCTGTTCTTCTGTATGTAGCATGTAATTTTTCTCCATTGCCTTTAAGATCTTCTCTTTAATTTTTTATTTTTTGGTAAAACTGGGAGTCTCACTACGTTGTGTAAGGTGGTCTTGAACTCATGACTTCAAGCAATCCTCCCCACTTTCAGCTTCCCAAAGTGCTGGGATTATGGGTGTGACCACGCCCAGCTGCAAGTTGGGGGCGTCTAGGCATGGTTTTGTGAAATTTCTTTGTATTAAACATTCTTAGGATTATCTGGGTTTCTTGAAAGAATAAATTTGTATCTTTCACCAAATTTGGAAACACTTCAGCTATCAGTTTAAGTATTTGTTTCACTCCATTCTCCCTCAACTCTCCTGAAGTCTCAGAGACTTCAGTTACATTTCTATATTATCACACAGGTCGCTGGAACTCTTAGGTGATTTCTATCAATTCATCTTCAATTTCACTGACTCTTCTGTTATTTCCAACTTTTTCTTAAACCAATCCAGTAATTTTTTTATCTCTAATGTCTTTTTTAGTTCTAGAATTGCCATTTGATTCCATTTTATAGTTTCTATTTTTGTGCTAAGAATTTCTATATGTTAGTTTATTATGAGTATACTCATAATAAACATATAGAACATATTTATAATAATTGCTTTAAAATCCTTACCAGTTAATTACAACATCTGGAGCATCTTTGGGTTGATCTCTATTAATTACATTTTCCCTTGAGTATAAGTTACATCACTCTGGTTTGTTTTTGTTTTTGTTTTTTGAAGCTGAGTTTTGCTCTTGTTGCCCAGCCCAGGCTGGAATGCAATGGCACAATCTTGGTTCACCATAACCTCCACTCCCAGGTTCAAGGGATTCTCCTGCCTCATTCTTCTGAGTAGCTGAAACTACGGCATGCGCCACCACGGCCGGGTAATTTTTTGTATTTTTAGTAGGAACGGGGTTTCTCCATGTTGGTCAGGCTGGTCTTGAACTCCTGACCTCAGGTGATCTGCCCACCTCGGCCTCCCAAAGTGCTGTGATTACAGGCGTGAGCCACCATGCTTGGCCTATATCCTGAATATTTTGAATTATATGTTAGGAAGACTATGGATTCTATTATGGTCTTCTAAGGAATATTATCTTTATTAGTTTACTTTTTGTTATTGTTTTTCTCTTTTAACCTCTCTGCACCCAGAGCTGCTTTGCTTGGCAATCTGTTGTGTCTTCTTAAGATCCCCATACATATTTATATACATGAATTTGTTCTTAACAAGTCAGTGGTATTATATCTTTTTCAATTATTAACCTAGCACTGGAGATCTGAAGATTAAAAAAATAATTTCACTTAACTTTTCTAATTTGAGTTCTAACATCTAAAGATCAACAGTTTTTAAAAGTTATGTTTATTTCTAATTAATATCTAGGGCAAAATCCAACTTATTGATAGGTTCTTGGCATTTTTTTTTTTAATTATGCTTTAAGTTCTGGAACACATGTGCAGAATGTGCAGGTTACATAGGTATACACGTATGGTGGTTAGCTGCACCAATCAACCCATCATCTATATCAGGTATTTCTCCTAATACTATCCCTCTTCTAGCCCCCACCTCACAACAGGCCTCAGTGCATGACGTTCCCCTCGCTATGTCCATGTGTTCAACTCTCACTTATGAGCCAGAACATGCGGCATTTGGTTTTCTGTTCCTCTGTTAGTTTGCTGAAAATGATGGTTTCCAACTTCATCCATGTCCCTGCAAAGGACATGAACTCATCCTTTTTTATGGCTGCTTAGTATTCCATGGTGTATAGGTGCCACATTTTCTTTATCCAGTCTATCATTGATGGGCATTTGGGTTGGTTCCAAGTCTTTGCTATTATGAATACTGCTGCAATAAACATACGTGCGCTTGTGTCTTTATAGTGAAATCATTTATAATCCTTTAGTTTCTATACCCAGTAATGGGATTGCTGGGTCAAATGGTATTTCTGGTTCTAGGTGCTTGAGTAATTTCCACATTGTCTTCCACAGTGGTTGAACTTACACTCCCACCAACAGTGTAAAAGTGTTCCTATTTCTCCACATCCTCTCCAGCATCTGTTGTTTCCTGACATTTTAATGATCACCATTCTAATTGACATGAGATGGTATCTCATTGTGGTTTTGATTTGCATTTCTCTAATGACCAGTGATGATGAGCTTTTTTTCATATGTTTGTTGGCTGCATAAATGTCTTTTGAAAGGTATCTTTTCATATCCTTTGCCCACTTTTTGATGTTTTTTTCTTTTAAATTTGTTTAAGTTATTTGTAGATTCTGGATATTAGACTTTTGTAAGATGGGTAGATTGCAAAAATTTTCTCCCATTCTGTAAGTTGGCTGTTCATTCTGATGATAGTTTCTTTTGTTGCACAGAGGTCTTTAGTTTAATTCAATCTCATTTGTCAATTTTGGCTTTTGTTACCGTTCCTTTTGGTGTTTTAGTCATGAAGTCTTTGCCCATGCTTATGTCCTGAATAGTATTGCCTAGGTTTTCTTCTAGGGTTTTATAGTTTTAGGTCTTACGTTTAAATCTTTAATTCATCTTGAGTAAATTTTTGTATAAGGTGTAAGGAAGGGGCCCAATTTCAATTCTCTGCACATTTTTAGCCAGTTTTCCCAACACCAATTATTAAGTAGGGAATCCTTCCCCATTGCTTGTTTTTGTCAGGTTTGAAAAAGATCAGATGGTTGTAAATGTGTGGTGTTATCTCTGAGGCCTCTGTTCTGTTCCCTTGGTCAATATTTTTGTTTTGGTACTGGTATCATGTTGCTTTGGTTACTGTAGCCTTATAGTACAGTTTGAAATCAGGTAGCATGATGCCTCCAGCTTTGTTCTTTTTGTGTATGCAGTCAATTTGGCTCCAAACTTTCTGTCTCTCTAATTATGTGAACTAGCCAAAATCTCTATTCCATTGTTTTCCCCTCAGCTGGCCTAATAGGCACATTCAATAGTCATCCAGCGATTTGGGCAGAGTTTATCTACTGCATTTATGGCTCCTTTTGGCACTCTCTTTTCCTGGACTCCCCCGTTACTTTCCAGTTCCTGTATAACCTTACATTATGTTCTCTGTTTCTTCATCTAATAAGTCTGCAGGGTTGTTGCTGAATTTCACTACTGCATTGTGACCAGACAAGGGACAACCCATAAAGTGAAAAAGCATAAAATATGGTGACCAACCTAGTGCCATATTTTTCTTATGAGCATTGACTCTACTGCAGTTTCTACCTGCCTTGGCCATGTTTCAGTATCTTCAGGCCGTTCTTTTTTATATTCTTATCCAGAGTTTATCGTTGTTATCTGTAAAAGAGTTGGTCCAATACAAGCTATTCCCCCATTTGCAGAAGCAGGATAAGGTAAGCTAATTTAAAATTAATTTTAATTTCAATTTTCAACACATATTTTCTGTATACAGAGATTGCATAAATTCAATCTCAAACCCTGTCTCAGGGTAGGCTTGTGACTAAAGGTTATTTTTTTCCTACTCTAAGCCTAGATTGATGTTAGAAAACGTGATGGCCATTTACAGTGGCTCACACCTGTAATCCTAGCCCTTTGAGAGGCTGAGGCAGAAGGTTCACTTGAGCCTAGGAGCTCAAGACCAGCCTGGGCAACATAGTAAGATCCCATCTCTATAAAAAATTTTAAAAATTAGCTGAGTGTGATGAAATACACCTGTAGTTCCAGAAACTTGAGAGACTAACATAGAAGGATGGTTGAACCTAGGAGATCAAGTCGGCAGTGAGCCTTGATCACACCACTGTAC